TCAGCCTTCCAAGTAGCTGGAACTACAGGCATGCGCTACCATGCCCGGGCTGATTTTTAAAAATTTATTTATTGTAGAGATGAGGTCTCGCCAAGTTGCCCAGGTGGGTCTCGAACCCACGAGCTCAGGCAGTCCACTCACCTCAGCCTCCCAAAGTGTGGGATTACAGACTGAGCCACCGAACCCAGCTATCTTTTTTTTTTTTTTTTTTTTTTTTTGAGTTGGAGTCTCACTCTGTTGCCCAGGCCACTGGGGTAGCATACTCACGGCCACCCTAGTGTCGACCTCCTGGACTCTGGTGATCCTTCCACCTCAGCCTTCCAAGTAGCTAGAGCTACAGGCACGCGCTACCATGCCTGGCTAATTTTTTGATTTATTGTAGAAACGAGGTCTCGCCAAGTTGCTCCGGCTGGTCTCGAACCCTCAGGCTCAGGCAGTCCACTCTCCTTGGCCTCCAAAAATGCTGGGATTACAGGCTGAGCCACCGAGCCTGGCCAATTATTAAAAGCATTTTTAAAGTTAAGCAAATTCTTCCAGTTAAGTTTTTTTTTTTTTTTTTGAGTTCGAGTCTCACTCTGTTGCCCAGACTGGAGTGCAGTGGCCACTCCTGGCCACCGCAGCCTCAACCTGCTGGGCTCCGGCGATCCTTCCGCCTCAGCCTTCTGAGTAGCCGGGATTACAGGCATGCGCTACCACGCCTGGCTGATTTTTTTTTTTTTGATTTATTGTAGAGATGAGGTCTCGCTGCCCAGGCGGGTCTCGAACCCGCGGGCTCAGGCAATCCACTCACCTCAGCCTCCGAAAGGCGCGGGATTACAGGCTGAGCCACCAAGCCCGGCTTCCAGTTAAGTTTGACTTGAGTCAAGTGATCAAAGAAAGGTGAAGAAATGCCAGATCTGGGAAATTATTAGTGGGGATGTGATTTGTCTTGAAATTCCCAGACTTCAGGCTGTTATGCTGTATAACCAGTGACCGGTGCTCAGGATTAGTTGACATTATGTTAATGTCCGCTTTCAGAAAAATTTTCTATTTTCTCACTAGTTTTTAAATAGTATGATTATTTTAGGGGACAAATATTTTGAGAAGCTTATTAGTGACTAGGATCTGATTGCCAGTTAATGTTCCATTTTCTGTGGACCTGGCACAGGAAAGATGTTGGGCATATGCAGAATGTCCCGTTTATGTAACCTTGGCTGTGTGTTCTAGGCCTCTCAGCCCCCAACATAACGCATGTGGCCCTTGTCTTTTCCCATCAGACATCAGGAAAAATCATCTGGAGGAGAGAATGGGGAGGGGGAGGGGAGAGGAGGGGCTCTGAGGCCTCATTATCTTTTTGAGGGCCTACAGGTTTCTTCCATGTGGGTCTCATGGAGGCCAGTCCTTGGAGAGGCGAGTCTATGGAAGGCAGGTCCATGGAAACATGGAGTGGGGCTTCCCTGGCTTGTTGGAGCAGTTTGAGTTTTCTTCTCAGTGACCCTCCCACTCTGCTGTGAAGGCATTTTTCTCTCACAAGATCTGGACATGTTGATCAAATGAGCACCTAACCTGGGCAACCCCTTCAGGTCCCCTCCCACTGTGGGAGCTTTTCTGTCTTCTCAATAAATCCTGCTTTTTTAAAAGAAGCACATAACCTTAAGAAACATAAAATATTCTTGCGATGCAGCCTAATTTTAAATGGTGACTACCCAAAAGAACCATCTCTTTCTGTCCCTATGTGAATTGATAAGGGTCTGATTACAGACAGGTCGCAGCCCATGTGAAACACTGTTAGGGGAGCCTTAAAGTAAAGCGGTCCTTCCTATTTCCGTTCATTTATCATTTTCACTGAACATACTTATGTTTAGGACATTGATTCACTCCAAGTTGCCTCAGGACTGCCCTATCATCACGTGCGTTTTGTTTGTGAAGCTGGGATGCCTCACAGCTACACGGCCATGGGGACCTAGGCATACAGCACACATGTCTTCCTGACTCTGCCAGCCTCTTCCTGGGCACAGGTTGGGGGTACCGGGGGCGGGCAAGCGGCACCTCACTCTCCAGAATGCCCTTCCTTTCCCTTCCTTCTCTTGGAACTAGTGTGATGAGGGTTACTGCTATACAGAGTAGCCGCCAACATCATGGTTCGTTCCCACTACTTTGGCCCTGAGTACCTGGCCTCTGTTGTCCAGAGAATGGGCATGGAGGAGACACTTTCCTTTCAGTGCTTGGAACCCCCTTGCCTTTCCAGCTGCTATTTCACATTTTAAATTAAAGCAGAAGTGGCCTCCCCTGGCCAGTAGTTATGTGAAGACAGCAGCTCCCTAAGGAAGAGGCACATGTGTTTGGCCCTAGACATTTGTCTGAGTGGACGCCTGTGCTGTCCACTATGGGACTGCAAGCACCTGTGAGGTGGCCATTGTGAATTGAGATGTGTGCAGCTCATTTTATTACAACATGAATGATGCAAGGACTCTCAGGTTTTTGAAATGATGGTTCTTCAACTGTGTTGGGCTAAGGAAAATTTTTATTAAAATCAATGTCTAACCGGGCTTGGTGGCTAGGCCTGTAATCCTGCACCTTTGGGAGGCTGAGGTGAGTGGATTGCCTGAGCCCGCGGGTTCGAGACCCACCTGGGCAGCGAGACCTCATCTCTACAATAAATCAAAAAATCAGCCGGGTGTGGTAGCACATGCCTGTGATTCCGGCTACTTGGAAGGCTGAGGCGGAAGGATCGCTGGAGCCCAGCAGGTCAAGGCTGCGGTGGCCGGGAGTGGCCACTGCACTCCAGTCTGGGCAACAGAGTGAGACTCCAACTCAAAAAAAAAAAAAACAACAAAGAAACAAAAGCAAACAAACAAAAAAATCAATGTCACCTGTTTCTTTACTTTTTGTCTTTTTGTTTTTTGAGTTGGAGTCTCACTCCATCACCCAGGCTGGAGGTCAGTGGCACACTCACGACCACCCCAGCATCAACCTGCTAGGCTCTGGCAATCCTTTCGCCTCAGCCTTCCAAGTAGCTGAAACTACAGACACGTGCTACCACACCCGGCTAATTTTTGATTTATTGTGGAGACGAGGTCTTGCCAAGTTGTCCAGGCTGGTCTCGAACCCGTGTGCTCAGGCAGTCCACTCACCTTGGCCTCCCAAAGTGCTGGGATTACAGGCTGAGCCTCCGAGCCTGGCCACTTTTTTTTTTTTTTTTTTTTGAGTTGGAGTCTTACTCTGTTGCCCAGACTGGACTGCAGTGGCCGCTCCCGGCCACGGCAGCCTCAACCTGCTGGGCTCTGGTGATTCTTCCACCTCAGCCTTCCAAATAGCTGGAATTACAGGTGCGCGCTACCATGGCTGGCTAATTTTTTGATTTATGGTAGAGATGAGGTCTCACCAAGTTGCCCAGGCGGGTCTCGAACCTGCGGGCTCAGGCAATCCACTCACCTCATCCTCCCAAGGCGTGAGATTACAGGCTGAGCCACCAAGCCCGACTCTGGCCACTTTTTGTTTTTAACATGGTTTATGGGACTCATGGTAGCTGTGGTACCCCCCTGCTGGAAGACGCCATTCCACAGCTTCTGTCAGAAAGTATCATTTCTGCTTCTCCTTTGCAGATCCCATCTACACGACCAGTCTGTCGTCACGGTGATTGGGAGCGAGGAACACTTTGAGGACTATGGTGAGGGCAGCGAGGCCGAGCTGTCCACAGAGAGCCTATGCAACGGGCAGCTCAACTGCGGTGACCCCACTTTCCTCACCCCCAGGTAATGCAGCTTGCACTGTAACGTGCGCCTCCTTGTCTCCATGTTCAGTTATGGGGGTGTTTCTCTCTTTGGTGAAGAGAGAACTTACTTTATTTGACATAGTGTGATTAAATATGCCACATTCAAAAATTTGAAGTTTATCCCTAGGTGAAAGTTGGCTGATGTGTCGCCTGTCCAGTTATGTTCCCAGGTAGTTTCAAATTTCTGAGACCTCAGCGGAATTCCATAGCCCAGAGCTGTGTTTGGAAACTCAGCTTGTGGGCTCCTGAGCCATTAGTCACAGATCACACTGTACTCTGTGGCTAACTTTAGGGGGAGGCTTTAAGGTCACAAGTGAGTCTTTGGATTAATTTCTCTCATTACCTGACATTCCCAGACTGTCTGGGATGTTCTGCCTCTGAATACAATGAACTGTGATACCTATGGGTAAGACATTCGCTCTCTTGGAGCTGTTGCTTTCCCAGACCCCTCCTCCCAGGGATGCACGTGAGGAAGTCACAGGAGTCAGAGGCTGCTTGGGTCAAACCAGGGTCTGAGTGAGCATCCAAGGGCCTGGGCAGCCCCTCAGAGGACACACCCAGACGGCCTATCATTTCAGTCCCCTCTCCGCTTTGCCTCTGGTTCTTGACAGTCTCCATCTTGCCAACAGTAGGAGCTGGGTATCGGAAACAGCGATTGTAGGAATCTTCCTTTGCCCAGTTTACTGAGGCCCAGAGGTCATGGCTGGAGGGCAGTGCCTGGAGGGTCCATCACATGCGACGAGCCACCCAGCTGCTTGATGAGTCCCCGTCATCTCATTCCCCATGTGCCTTCCCCAACGCTGCCCGGCACAGGGACCCCACACAGGCACCCCTGCATGCTAGTTCTCCTGGTGAGAGTCCCAGGAGTGCTGTGGGCAAGCACACTGGTTTTAGCAGCTTTCCTCTCCAGTGCCTGTGTGTGGGAGTGTCAAGAGAAGGCCCTGAACTGAGGACTTGGGCATTTCTAGCTGTGTTTCTGTGTTTGGTCTTTTCCTGTCTCTGTTTAGTTTGTCCCTGTCTCCTGTCCAGTGTTTTCACTGTTTTCTGTCTAACATATAACTTCTGTCTACATTCTGTGCTTCACTTTTAAGCTTTCTTTACATTGAACTTCCAAATGATTTCCAACAGCTGGAGGGGACTGGTGCCCTGGGAACACGACTGCCTTTCCGCCTTAGTCTTCTGGTGACAGATGCATCACTATCCGTCAGTGTCCCTGAAAGCCCACTGGGATGAAATCCCAGGGAGGTCAGCTGGGCATCACCAAAAGACAGAATCCCGTTTTTAATGCAGGTCTTAAAAACTACAAAACTACTGTTGGTTCACCACCCATGCGTGGTTTTTAGAGCAGTTGTTAAAACAGTACAGTAGGTGAAAGTCTACCTGGAGACAGGCTTTGTTATCACACTGATGTGTTTTTGGCAAAGGAGAAAGGGGAGAGTACTTGGTCATTTACCTTCTTTTTAAAGAAAGGCTTGTGTTTCACAATGTGACTCTCAGGCTATACCTGTTTTCTTCTGTGCACCTGGCCAGGAAGGAGCAGGTGTGTGCGAGCCCTCCACTCTCAAGCTGGTACGTGTCACGGGCTCCCAGAGGGTGCTCTGAGGATGGGCTTACTGCAGTCCAGAAGTGAGAGCCACAATCTCCCACAACTGATTCTCTACCTACATGCTTCCATTCAGCTCCCTGTCCTGACTTACATTCACCAGTCCTCACATGGAGCTCCAGATCACCAGTGGGTCCTTGCCCTCTCCTGAACTGACCTTCTCATCTCTCTAGCACCAACCCGCTTGCTGCAAAGCTGCGCAGCATCCTTGCTGATGAGGCACTTGAGTTTTACTGTAGCCAGTGCCACAAACAAATCAACCGCCTTGAAGATCTTTCTGCTCGCCTGAATGATCTCGAAATGGATAGGTAATTGATGAGTGCCTGGCCCTGCTCTTGATCCCAGGGTGAGGGGGACTCCTGCTGCCCACAGCTCTCTGCTGGCCCAGTCTGGGGTGCCACTGCCTCACGAGTAGGGGCACTTCCCCAGGCCCAGTCCACGCTGAGGGTGTTTCCCACGAGGCCTGGCCTGACGCTGACTGAAAGTGCTCAGAAGTGGGACTTTACCTGTGGCCTGGCCTCCTCTTCCTGCATGCTGAGTTGGTGCTCTGTCCTCTGCCTGTGCATGCCAAAGTCTTAGCAGCTGCTCTGTCCTGGTAGCTCTTTAGATGCTGTGCTATCCAGCACATGAGAGGACACTTTCTGCATTTTACTAAAGGATGTCTTTAATTGGGAGTCACATGAGACAGAATTAGTCAATTTAAAGATATGGTCTTGGCCGGGCGCAGTTGCTCACACCTATAATCCCAGCACTTTGGGAGGCCGAGGTGAGTGGATGGTCTGAGCCCATGGGTTTGAGACCAGCCTGGGCAACTTGGCAATATCTTGTCTCTACAATAAATAAAAAATTAGCCGGGAGTGGTAGCGCGTGCCTATAGTTCTGGCTACTTGGAAGGCTGAGGCAGAAGTATCGCCGGAGCACAGCAGGTTGATGCTGGGGTAGCCATGAGTATGCCACTGCACTCCAGCCTGGGCAACAGAGTGAGACTCTAACTCAAAAAACAAGAAAAAATCAGGGTTGTGTCTACTCAGGGTGTAAGGTCACCGTCGATGCAGTGACCAGAGCAAGCCCAGTCTCACTACCCTGTTTTTGAAAAGGATGTCCAGGGCCCCCGCATGTGCCTGTGGCTCTCTGCCCTGTCAGTCCCTGTTCCATTTCTCTTCTCGACTTCCTGGTGTGGGTGTCATCAAAGCCTGTCACTCTCTCTGTCCCTCTTTCCAGGCCCAGCTGGGGTCTGTGTCTCAAGAGAGTGCCTTTGCTGGCTCCTCAAAACCGCACAAGTTCCATTATAGAAAGTGTCTTTAGGTTGTCTGCATATACTGACATGCCTGTTAGGCCCTTTGCTCATTCAGCTTGTGGTATGGGAAAGCCCCAGGGGATATTTGGGGAGGGTCTGGAGAAGAGATGGGCCATGGTGGAGATCCGCAGCAGCCCCAGCCTGGCAGGGAAGGTAAGTGACTGTGCAGACCCATGCTGGCAATCCAGGGTGGAGAAGGGGCATGGAGGAGTTGGAGGGTTTGTAAAGCTGGCAGAAAGTGAGCCATGTTGATGACTTTAGCATGTTTAGGGGTCTTTCAGAAACTGCTTACCTGTCCTTAGGAGCCTACCTCCATGTCTGTGCCTGCCCCTGTAGAACCACCACCAAGGCCACCTCATCCTTCTTGATGGATTCTCACTGTTGATGGCCTGTTGAACCTACCGTCCTGTCTCTAGTTCCAATGCTTGTGTGTTTCTTTTTTCTTACATTCCATGCAATCCTGCAAAACACAAGTCCGCTGGCAACTTCCCCGCCAGACAGAAGGGAGGGCCAGGGCCCTAGCACTTGTAGCCATTTGGGAGCATCAAGAGGCCTGGCAGCACTGTTCAGAAACCAGAAGTGCTCTTTGAGGGCAGTCCTGGGTGAGTTGAGGCAGTCTGATATCCCATGATTCCACCAAGATCCTCTGGCCTCTGTTTTAGGGGAAGCCAGTTTTCACCTGCTGCATGTATTCAGTGCTCGGCCTGGGTGTTGAGGGCCATTCGTCTTCCCATATAAACCTTTGCCCTCCCGCTGATAAGTGGATTTGAGTGCAAGTTATATCATCCTGTATTTGAAAGTAAACCTGGGCCGGGTGCAATGGCCCACGCCTATAATCCTAGCACTTTGGGAGGCCAAGGTGAGAGGATTGCCTGAGCCCATAGGTTCGAGACCAGCCTAGGCAACTTGGCGAGACCTCGTCTGTACAATAAATCAAAAATTAGCCAGGCATGGTGGTGCATGCCTGTAGTTCCAGCTACTTGAAGACTGAGGCGAAAGGATCACCTGAGCCTAGCAGATCAAGGCTGTCATAGCCATGAGTGTGCCACTGCACTCCAGCATGGGTGACAAGAGTAAGACTCCAACAAAAATAAAATAAGCCGGGCTTGGTGGCTCAGCCTGTAATCCCGCGCCTTTGGGAGGCTGAGGTGAGTGGATTGCCTGAGCCCGCGGGTTCGATACCCGCCTGGGCAGCGAGACTTCATTTCTACAATAAATCAAAAAATCAGCCGGGCATGGTAGCACATGCCTGTAATTCCGGCTACTCGGAAGGCTGAGGCAGAAGGATCGCCAGAGCCCAGCAGACGAGGCTGCAGTGGCTGCTCCCAGCCACTGCACTCCAGTCCGGGCGACAGAGTGAGACTCCAACTCAAAAAAATAAATAAATAAATAAAATAAAAAGAAAGAATGACCAGTGATGACAGGGAATTGGAGTGGTGAGGCATTGGCTGAGATGAGCAGAGAGAATTGCCAAATACAGGAACAGCATTGAGAGGTACATCCACCACCCCAGGGCTGGGCTGGGGCACCCCAAATAGAGCTGTTCCCCCCTAGAAACAGCCCCTGTGTAATACAGGGAGGCAAAGACACACTGAGGCCTGTGCGGTTGGGCTGCTGGGAATCCACCCACCTTCTGGAGCCTGCTGGAAAACTGCCCTCTGGCTGCCAGGAAAGCTGTTCTCTGGGAGGTGTCTCTTGAGAGGCACTCTGCCTCTGAGCTGCCTGGGGAGCAGAGTCAGGGGAAGCTGCTGGCCTCTGGGTGCCACTGGGCTATGGGCACCCGCAGTGCCTTGGAAGCCCGCAGAACCCGGCAGGAAGCTAGCTGTTCTCCCTGCAGCATCTCTCTCTAGCACCCTCTGCTGACAGCAGGCAGCAGTGCAGAGGAGAGCCTGAACAGGCCTGCTCCACTCTCATGGCGGTAAAAAGGGTGAACTTGGCACTGAGAGGCAGTGGTGAATCTGTAGCGGGTTGTGTGTGTTCTCCCCAGACTTTTCTGCCTGACCCTTGAAGGCAAGCCCTAGGTTTGTTTGAGATAAGTGAGCTTAAGAGAGATGTGACTGGCTGCTGTGAATTCAAAGACGGGGATGGTTCTGCTTGGAGAGATGAGTGTATCTTCTTGCAGATTGAGGCTTAATAGTTTAACAGTTGCATCAGAAGATAAAACACTGGGCCTCAGAATGAGGGATAAGGTAAGTTGCCCTTTTGTCACTGCAGATGGCTCCAACAGATGGATGGTGTGTCATTGACCACATTTACTGCCCTGAAATGGTGACAGGAAAGGTTTTCCAAACCACTGCCCAGGCAGGTGTTCAGAATGTGAAGGGCAGAGCCAACGATGAAACCAGCAACACACTTTCCTGTCACTGGAGGCCTATGTCACGATTTGCATGGGGACCTCTGACGGCCAAGCGTTTAGGGTAATGTGGCTTCAGTAGCATTTGGGCTGTGGCATTTGCCAATGGCTCAGACCCAGGGAAGCCAGCTGGCCGGTGTAAGTGCTGTGGGGTCAGCCTTTGAACTGAGGTCTGGTTGTGGCTTCGTCTGGACCTTTCTCTATGGGGTGGAGTGATGAGCCCTGAAGAGGCCTTGACCTGTGTCCTCACGGTATGCTGAGTGGGCAATGTGTGCATGGGGCCTCCCTGGGGAAGGGTGCTGCATGCTCTGGGCACTGCTGAGAAGGCCACTCATCCCCATATCTCTGCAGCCTGAGTTTCCTGTTTCCTCCTGCTCTTCTCTGTCTGTTCTCTGACATAATTTTCCTGTTTATTTTGTTTTTGCACAGTCCAGCGAAGCGGCTCTCCAGCAAGAAGGTGGCAAGGTAGGCAGATCCCTGATTACTTACTGAAAAACCTGGAGCGGATGTCTAATAGTTTTTTTAAAAGTTTAGGAGCTATTCCTTTTCAAGGTATTTTTTAAAACTTGGAAAAGTTGCTTTTCATGGTTTGGGACTGAACGTATTCTGAGGGGTGGGTTGGAAAAATAATTTTAAGGGCTGTGGATTTTGACCTGGATTTGTGACCAGAAGGTATATGTTGAAAGCTCTTGACCCGGGTGTGGTGGCTCATGCCTGTAATCTCAGCACTTTGGGAGGCTGAAGTGAGAGGATCACTTGAGCCCAGGAGTTTGGGACGAGCCCAGGCAACATAGCGAGACCTCATCTTTACAAAAAAATTTTTAAATGAGCCAGGTGTGGTGGCCCATGCCTGTAGTTCTACTACTCAGGAGGCTGAGGCAGGAGAATCCCTTGTGCCCAGAAGTTCGAGGCTGTGGTGAGCTGTGATTGCGCCATTGCACTCCAACCTGGAAACAGAGTAAGGACCTGACTCAAAAATAAACAAACAAACAAACAAATAAAGCTCTTGGTGGCATTGGTTCTCTTTTTTTTTTTTTTTTTTTTTGAGTCAGGGTCTTACTCTGTCACTCCAGAGTACAGTGGTCTGATCATGGTTCACTGCTGTCTGCCTTGGCCTCCCAAAGCTCTGTGATTCTAGCCATGAGTCACCATGCCCAGCTTGGTCCTGTTTTATTGTATATTCACTGCAAGGTCTAGAAGGGGCTAGCATCCCCACATGTCTGCTATAAGTTAGCTCCAAGGTAGAGAGACCTGGCGAGGGGCCTCTTATAGCTGGAGCAGCCTCCTGCCAAGCCTGTGCCCTCCCAGCCCACAGTGGCTCCCCAGCGTGAGTTGAAGGTGAAGGGGTGGGCCTAACTCCAATTCCTAAAGATGATTTCTTCATTTTCAGTTTTGGATGCTATCTTTTGGCTTCCAGCTGGGAAATTTGGCAACACACACATTTATCTTCTTTCCCTGCCAGATTTTACTGGGGTATTCAGGGCTCATAAGACACTTACCCTTTCCAGGGTCCGTGCAGTGTTGTTGCTGTGCTCTTCCTCAGACTCCTGGGCTCAAGGCATCCTCCTGGGCTCAAGGCATCCTCCTGCCTCAGCCTCCTGAGTAGCTGGGACTACAGGCACACACCACTATGTCCAGCTTACTAGAAGATTTTAAGATGTTTTCTTTAGCCAGGCTTGGTGGCTCAGCCTGTAATCCCGCGCCTTTGGGAGGCTGAGGTGAGTGGATTGCCTGAGCTCGCGGGTTCGAGACCTGCCTGGGCAGACAAGACCTCATCTCTACAATAAAATCAAAAAATTAACCGGGTATGGTAGCGCGCGCTTGTAATTCCAGCTACTCGGGAAGGCTGAGGCAGAAGGATCGCCGGAGCCTAGCGGGTGGAGTCTGCAGTGGCCGGGAGCGGCTACTGCACTCCAGTCTGGGCTACAGAGTGAGACTCCAACACACACACACAAAAAGATGTTTTCTTTATTCCTAAAGTTTATAAATTTTATGATGAGCCGGGCTTGGTGGCTCAGCCTGTAATCCTGCGCCTTTGGGAGGCTGAGGTGAGTGGATTGCCTGAGCCCGCGGGTTCGAGACCCGCCTGGGCAGGCGAGACCTCATCTCTATAATAAATCAAAAAATCAGCCGGGTGTGGTAGTGCATGCCTATAATTCTGGCTACTTGGAAGGCTGAGGCGGAAGGATCGCTGGAGCCCAGCAGGCGAGGCTGCGGTGGCTGGGAGCGGCCACTGCACTTCAGTCTGGGATACAGAGTGAGACTCCAACTCAAAAAAAAAAAATTTTTATGATGAATCTTGTGAGGTTTTTTTTCCCCATTAATTAAGACAGGCAAAATAGAAAATATGGCTTTTTCATCTGGAGCTGGTCCCCTTCATTCTGTAATCTCTTGAGCTGCTTCTCTGGCAGTTTCCTGTTCTTCCTCTCTCATTCTGGAGCTCCTCTTATGACCAGCTGCCAGACACTCCAGGTGGACCTCTCACTGCCCTCTTCACTTTCTGGGACACATCCTCAGCCCTGCCTTTTGTGCCTCCCTATGCACTTTTTAAGCATTATTTCTTTTTTTTTTTTTTTGAGTTGGAGTCTCACTCTGTTGCCCAGACTGG